GAAGTACTTAATCTATCTATAGAGGAATGAAATAATGCAGCTGGTGTAAACAAAGCGTCTTTAAAATCAATGCCAGTAGACAGTCTCAAGACAGTCGTCGACGTTCTTGATTCATCTTGCAACTAATCCTATTACAAATTGTTGACGACATGTTGGCTCAGTTGATAGTGACCCTACTTGCTATTCCAGCGGCCGCGGGTTCGAGCCCCGCTGGGGGCATTCATTTGTGTGATGAGCACGAATGTTTGTACTCCAGTCATGGGTGTTTATATTTATAATATGTATGTACTTAAAGTTATATATGTGTAGTGTATCAACTATCTGGTATCCATAACACAAGCCTTGTAGCTTACCATGGAACTAGATAGCGCTGTGTCTTAATGTCCCAACATTATTAACATTATTACAAATACAATAACCCTTAACGGTTTATCCCTTGAAGCATTAATAGACCACGCCATATACTTAGTATGAGCTCTGTGTTATAAATCGGCACATACGTATACAGTGAGGATCACGTGAAGTTAATACTTAAACTTAAAAACTGCCTCGTTCGTCTAAAAGTTACAGATCATGAAGTCCTGAGTTCAAGTCCTGGGTCAAGCCATGTGACAGCCCGGAGGTAAGGGAAGTAATCCCCATGACCCAGAAACACGTAAACTATGCTACGTCTTCAACTCTGATCGGTCGTGTCCAATTGTCATCCGTCAGAATTTTGAGAGCGAAAGAAATAAAGAGTGCACTTGTGTTTCGCACACACTTGTGCACTATAATTTCTTCTGGCAAATGCTTCATGCAGATTGACTGATCATTACGATGGCAATAATTAAATACTCGTATTTAAAAGTATTTTTAAGAAATAAAAGTATCGATGAAATCATCGAGTGTATCTAATTTATTATGTAGGTACAGATTATGGAATTTGAAATTTTTTCCAATAAACAGTGTTATTTTCCTGTTAGGTACCATTACTGTCAAGTCCGTAACAAGTCGTTACTGATACAGGCAAATTGCTCTTTGATATTTGATTGATACTCGTTGTCGATTCTACTATGTTTTGTAGCTTTGCCAACGCCAAATAAATGAATCATATACAACAAATACACGACTACGATATTCAATACGTTGAAATAAAATGTATCGAGCAATATCAATATCGACTTTTAATAAAATTGAATTTATAATATAAAATGTTTACAATATTATTTATAATAGAAAATACAATAATTTGATACAATAATGATGGAGACAACTTATCTATACATATAATAAAAGTGTAATCGCTATCTGTACATGGAAGATATTTGAGAAAAACTATCATTGGGGATCTTTATTTACGCAATAGAGCCCAAAACAATGATTTTTAGAACTATTGTCTGTTTGTCTGTGCGCTTGTGCGCGCTAATCTCAGAAACGGCTTAACCGATTTGGATGTGGTTTTCACTAATATATTGAGGTAAGCTTCACTTAATATTTAGTATTTGTTTTATTTCAATCGGTTCATAAATAAAAAAGTTGCGTCAATTTAAAGTATCACCTAGAGAGGAACCCGAGCGGAGCGAGGTGAGTCGCTAGTTGGAAATATAAGTATGTCTAAAAGAATAAAATTTTATTTTGTGCTCTTTAAATTCGTTTTGGCCAGTCTATATGGTCTTATGTTACAGTGAATCACAAACATAATTATCTATTTTTTTTTAAAACTGTAAGTATTATAAGTAAATTTCATACCAATTAAATGAAGCGGCTTCAATGAATCGATACAACATCAGCTTCTCATTCTCATGCATTACATTTTAATTAATAATAATAATTAAGAATGTCTGTTGCCAAAGGAGCACTTTGTAATAAGTATAAGCACTTTGTACATTATAGAATCTCATAATTGTTAAAGAATCTATATATATAAATAATATAGCAAAGATAAAGTACCATATTCTCCTCTGTTTGCGATTTTACAATGCAATTTTTGTATTTTTTCTCAGAAATGAGATATTTTCTCGCGGTAAAAAGTATCCTATATGTTTACCAGGATAACCGGCTACCAGCATACCATGGTAATTTCATCAAAATCCCTCCAGTGGTTTTTCTGTGATACGGTAACAGACAGACAAACAGAAAATATTCTAAAAACTATAGATTCGGCCTCTGTGTCGATAATAATGTTTATTTCAATAAGATTTTTCAAAAAATATTTAATGTACAGATTCGCCTTAGTAACAATTTTATTATATGTATAGATTTCGTAATTGTAAACTTTTCATAATTTTTAAAGTTAGTAACTATAGTAACCATGATTAAAAATAATGTAAACTTAATATAGAAAAAGTAATAAATGTCCCATTTTTATTGGTGCATTTCTAAAGTTAGCAATGAAAACAGTTTCAAAATTCAATAGTAAATTGAGTAACCTATGTCTTTTGATCTATAGATATATTGTAATAGCGTAAAACTTCTAAGATAAGTTAAATTAAATAAATATTGTACACGAAAAAGTATCAAAAAATTAAATAATAACCATATTTAAATAAATTTTTGCGCGTATCGGGCTTAGAACCTACACTGTTAATATTTAGAATTAATGAAATAAAATATCACTGCACACAAAAGGATTTTTTATTTATGAAGAAAATTCCACATATATATTCGAACCTTTCCTGACCTTGCTGGATAGATTCCACTGTTTACTGTTCGTGCGTTGATGCGTTGTTGCGTGGGAGACCGGAAGTGGACTGACATTATCCATTCGCACTTCATTTATTTCATGAACCGCTGACAATATGCCATATTGATTTTACATCATATCATATCGCATTTATCACATCACTGATTAAGAGAGATATGTATGATGCATAAAAATAACTTTTCCTTCATTCATACGTTTAACGGTTGTGACGTCATTGCCCATTCATGCCAATCATGTTATATTTAGATAGTTTTTACTCTTCTGTAAGCTTCTATTAGCTTTTTTATTTTGGTACAATAATTGAGCTGCTTCTAAAATCAAATTTAGGTTAGTTAACTTTTTAAAACTATACTTTTATTTACCTGATAATTCTAGTATTACATTTAAAATATACTTGGGAAAACAGCACATGCGTTAAGAATTGATAAATGTGATGGAATAAGTTAAAAATTCTGTGCTTTTTGCTACTCTTTTAGTCTGTGTAACGATTTATATATAAAAAATTTCGTTATCATTAAATAAACGACCAAATATATTTTTGTAAAGGAAAAATAGATAAAATAGGAGGTGGCCATCATAAGAACTTAGGATGTTTATATGTTTTTAACCAACTAAAACAAGTGCAATGAATAAATGCTGATTTCACGTTATTACGTAAGACTGGTAACTAAATAAAATGGTAATATCAAACTATTTTACTAGAAGTTAAATGGACTTACTTTATTGTTTATGTAGGCATAATTTCATCGCTTTTCAGAGTTTCTCCGAAACGGCAAACCTCTATGTAAAAAAATATATGAGACCTACCTAGAAATCCAATAAAATACTATGAAAACTAGCCAGATCACTCAAAGAGTCTTCAAGAAATTGGTCAAAAGCACTTAAAAATATGAAAAAGTAAATCCTTCACTTTTTAAAGTATTTATATATTTTGATTGAATTTTAAACCTTATGAATTAATTAAGAAAATTATGTACATAATTATTAAGAATAGTCGTGATCTGCATCCAGGATCGCAAGTATGTCAATGCATTTTAGTACTGAGTTCACCTTTAACTGGATTTGTACGAGTCATCGAACCACAATGGCAAATTGGCAATGTCTTGTTTATTTTGGCTAACGATATTTTAAACAACTGTTTGATTTAATTTTCCTTTGAAATTTGAAACATATGAATATTGAAACCGATTGATCTCCAATCACACCCCATTAAAAAACAGAGTTATCACCTCCAGGTAAATTTCTAAGAAATTAATTAAATTTCTAAGAAATCTATTGTTAACAAACACGCCGGCATGTCCGCGATTGTAGAGGGATTAACTTCTTTATTAAAAAACATACAACTAAATTCAATTCCTCCTCATCTTTGAAATCGGTCGAAATTCTCACTGTTGTCGTCCCGAATACAAAAATGTTTAGTATAAATATATTTAAACTAAAACCATCTTCTCGGAATTTTTTCGCGAATTTATTTTGATTTTTGGTTCCCGACGTTTCGAATGCTTTACAACAATCATGGTCACGGGAGAGACCGTCTGACCGTCGAGAGACGTCGGTCCTACTCATAGTTTAAGGATAATAATTATACTCTTATGTTTAAGGACTAAAATGTTACAAGTATATCTATACATATAATAAAATTGTAACTAAGTGGAATCTGTACATTAAATATTTTTTGGAAAAATCTAATTGAAATAGACATTATTATCGATACAGAGTCCGAATCTATAGTTTTTATAATTTTTGTCTGTCTGTCTTTCTGTCTGTCTGTCTGTCTGTTACCGCGTAACGAGAAAACCACAGGACAGATTTTGATGAAATTTGGTATGATGATAACTGGTTATGCGGGTCAACATATAGGATACTTTTTACCGCGGGAATATATCTCATTTCTGAGAAAAAATACAAAAACTGCATTGTACAAGTATACTAATATGTAAAACCTCAGAATTTGGATTTTAGTCATCTGAACGCGGGCGGAGCCGCGGGCAATGCTAGTTTTATTATATAACATTTATTCCATACTAAAGCTTATTGGCAATATCAAATATCTCTGTGAAATTACATTCTTTTGATATTTTACTGTTCTTGAATAAGTAATATCAATTTAATTCCTCTTTTCTTTTCCAGGTGACAACGCAAAATGGTCCCATTATGATATAAAGTTACAGTGTAGTGCCGAGTGTAAATAATTTTTTATATTTGCTTATACATATAGCTATAATTTTAACTAAACCATAGCAAGCTAAAAGTGTTAATAGTGTACAAGTTATAAAATGTGTTATTAGATACGTTTTGTATTCAATTTATTATAAAGATGTCTTCGAGAACTGGCCAACGTGGGACGTCGGTGGCAACGAGTCAGAGAAAACATAGGTCGAGATCTACCCCTCGCTATGATTTGGAGAAGAAACCAAAGAAAAAAGACCTAAAAACAGCGGGCGCTACAAGCCTGGTGTCTATTCCCAACAGTATTAAGCTGACGATGTTAAACAGTGGGCTTATATCTTTTGGTAAGTGATTTTAATATAAAAAATATTATAAATGAATATTCTAAATTGAAAAGATCTATAATAGAACATGGGTTCGTTATCCATAGGTCGAATCTGGCTCGAAGGATCAATTATAGTGTACTGCTGGTAAGTTAAATAAAAGTGGATTTCATTAAAAGTTAAACTGGTTAACATGGCGTCTATTAACTATGATTATGATTTGATTTGCAGGTTTTCCTAGCGTGTTTTCGTTAATATTATATAGAAATCTCAAAGATACGAGAGCCAGTATTTAAACCGTGCTTGATTTGGTTTTTTCAAGCGAGCGCGTTAGCAAGTTAATCCAATACTATTTAAGAAGTAAAGTATTATAAATATGCTGTATCTATCTGCTTAACAAAAGCATAGGATTTAAAAGATTTCGCTGAGCAGAGCTTGAAATTTAGCAAGGACGTAAATTACATCATAGCGACGCACATACGTAGGCAGCCATTAACTTTTACCATTTATTTTCGCCCTCATTACCATGAGAAAAAAATCGTTCATACACAATACAATGACATTTTAGGAAGTCAAAGTTGTACATTAAAAATTTATTGGAAGATTTATATTTTTTAAGGATATATTTAGCCCTTTTTAACGTCTCACTGCTTTTAATTATAGAACGCGATAATTTAAAAAGTTATTATGTCTTACGGATGATCACAGGCCTCCCTTCAATACGAAGGGCATCAGGCCATAGCCCACCACACTGGCCAAATGCAGATTGGTGGACTTTAAGTGTCTTTCGAAAACGAAAAAGATTTTTCTCTATTTTCACAGTTGTTGCTCTCGTTCCACAATCTTATTTACTTTACTTAGCCAAAACGGTCGATGTACTGTTCCGCTAGTTTGAATAATAACATGATATTATTAGCCTATAACCCTTGGTAATAAAATACCGAAATTTTCCGCAAACAATTTTTGTCACGTTCTACTGATATGATCGCGTTTTTATGTACTCAGTTCCTTCATAATAAATACTTTTTAAATATAATGTCTTTATATAAAAATATAAGTAAGTACTACATATATAAACGCGTTACGTATTTAAGAAGCGTTATTTGAAGACTTAGGTACTCAGACCGAATAATTATATAGACTGAGCCCGCGAAAAAAAATAAAAATAGAAGCCTGTTTGTGCTGTTTTTGCTAGTATTGTCGATTGTAAAATTCAGATCATTGAATTTCTTCTTTAAAGGGTAAAGGATAATATGTAGATTGTAGGTGTAGGTGTTAGTCGTTAATTTACAATTTTTAAGAAGAAATTTTAAATAATATTGAATAGTAAAAATAATATATTCTCTAGTATTTTTTAAACATTATTACTTCTCTTCCTATTGAAAGAGAGATACAATAATATTAACTTATTTAGTTTGTGTTTTTTATTATAAAAAATCCATTAGCTATTTTTATTTATTAATATTTATTTACATGTAACAGTAATGAGTATCTACTCTATAAATATATGTATACTGTTGAAAAACATTATATTATAGGGTCCCTAAAAAAATTCCAGATATTCCTTGCTTATATTCTTATTCAGTACTTTTATAATCATCAGTGTGTTATACAATTTATAATCATAATTTTCAGTATTTCAAACAATTCGTGACTAGTCACTACAGGATGGTACCGACATCTCTGATCTCTGTGCAAAAGCGCGGGAAAACAAATGAATATCCGCGCCTTTTTTTATTTTTTTTAAAACACATTCCTATCAGCCAAGGTCACATAAGTAAATGCCTTATACATAAATCATTACAAATTAATCAAATATATTATTTTCTATTAAAACACTCGATATAAGAAATGTAAGCTTACAATATGTTATTTAAATACAAAACCTTATTTTAAGAAGTACTTAAAAACTAGTAGTAGTTTACTTAGAAAGGGCTGAATACTAAAATCTAAATTAGTATACGGAGTTTATATTAAAAAAACATTAATTTAATCTATTTTTCTTGCCCCTAATAAATAGATTTTTACAAATACAAAATAAATTATATACCCGTCTGGTTTATTCGTCACAAACAAATGCTAAATGGATGTTATAAAATTATAAGTGTGAAATAACAAGTTGGTAATAATTTTAAATAAAACTATCTTTTCGGATTTTTTAGCGGATTTATTTAGATTTTTGATTTCCGACGTTTCGGATGATTTACAACAATCATGGTCACGGGGGAGACCAAAAATGAAAAAAAATCCGTGAAAAAATCCGAAAAGAGGTTTATTTAGAATGTCCAATATTCACGTAGGTAAATAAAATAAAAGTATTAAGTTTGCAATAATATTAATTTATTTCCATGGCAACACATTATAATCAAATATTATAAATAATGCATAAAACATAAATTATTATAATAACTAGCTACTTAATTCCTTCCTATCTACTTTATAAGAATCGGTCAAACCTTAATTCAATTTAAACTAGAAAGAGTCTCCGAGATATTAGAGAACATAATAAATTATAATAAAAAAAATAAAGTAAAAAAACGTTTTTAAAAATCACCTTTTATCTAAGTGCTTTAAAAACAATAAAATAAACTTTAAATCGAATCAAACCTAACAATTTATTACATTACACAATTTATATGATATAAAAGCTTGTTGCAAGATTTACCTATTTTAATATTATATTCTTGTTTATCTATCTACACAGGAAAATTTAAATAGTGTTGGGTCAAATTTAACTTGCAAGATTCCATTACACAAACCGAGACAGGTGAAACTAAATAAAAGCTTGTAAAAAAAAATACGCGTCGAATATAAAACCTCGTTTGTTCAGTTGTCAAATCGGTCAAAAAGGGTAATTATATTAAAATATTTTTAGTCTCAACTAAAAAAAATATATGTTAATAAATACAATTCTCAGTATGAAATTACGTTATCTAAATATAATTAAAAAATTAAGGAATACGACAAACAAAGACAAAATGCTAGATTACTATTATTAATGCCAATGTTTATCTTCTTCTTCTTCCTGCCCATTTCCCAATTCACTTGGGGTCGGCGCAGTAAGTCTTCCTCTTCCATTCTCCCCTATTACTCGTCATCTCATCATTCACCCCTTCTCTTTCATGTCTTGTCTCACACAATCTATCCATCTTTTCTTCGGTCTTCCTCTACCTTTCCATCCATCTACATTCATTTCCATCACTTTTCTCGTCACATGCGTTTCATCCCTCCGCTTCACATGCCCATACCAACTAAGACGATTCCCTTTCAACTTCTCTGTCACTGGTGCTACTTTTAAGCTTCCTCTTATGTACTCATTCCTTATTTTATCCATCCTCGTCACTCCACACATCCACCTTAACATTCTCATCTCAGCAGCCTGCAATCTTCTTTCATCAGTCTTCTTTGTAGCCCAGCATTGCGATCCATACATAACGACAGGTCTTATTACGGATTTATAGATCTTACCCTTCAACTTAAGGGGCATCCGCTTATCGCAAGTTATCGCTGTGACCTGTCGCCATTTCATCCACCCAGAGTTGATCCGACGCGTAATGTCTCGGTCAATATTACCATCACCTTGTACAAGAGATCCAAGATACCGAAAGTCAGTGCATATTGGTAAGGGTGTTCCCGAAAGGGTTATGAGCACTAGACTGGAGAGACCACCAAAGTCGCAGAAAAGGTATTCTGTTTTACTTCTGCTGACTCTCAAGCCAACACTCTCCAGTCTTTGTCGCCATTCTTCCAACCTGTTCTGAACATCTAGACTATTCTCGGACGCTAGCACAATGTCGTCGGCGAACAGCATGCACCAGGGGGCTTCTTCTTGTATGTCTGATGTTAAGGCGTCCAATACCATCAAGAAGAGGTACGGGCTAAGGGCAGACCCCTGGTGTAAACCTACAGCCACATTGAAGCTAGTAGTGGTGCCAGCTGTGGACCGGACTTGTGTACTGCATCGATTGTACATCGCTCGGATCAACTTCACGTACTTTTCAGGCACACATTTCTCTCTAAGGGCCCACCACAAAACCTCACGGGGTACCCGGTCATATGCCTTCTCCAGATCAATAAAGACCATGTGCAAATTCTTGTGTGCACTTCTGTACTTTTCGCATAGCTGGCGGATTGCAAAAATGGCATCAGTTGTTCCCCGACTGGGCATAAATCCGAACTGGTTTTGTGAAATTTCACTCTCTTCTCTTAGTCTTCGCTCAATCACTTTTTTCCAAGCTTTCATACTATGTGAAATTAGCTTTATTCCTCTATAGTTGTTGCACTCCAGCACATCACCTTTATTTTTAAAAATGGGCACCAATGAACTGTTGCACCATTCGTCCGGTATGACTTCATCTTGCAACAACTTATTGAAGAATAAGGCTAGCCACTTCCATCCATCCTCTCGCAATAACTTCCATGCTTCTATTGGTATTTCATCCGGCCCCACCGCCTTTTCGTTCTTCATTCCACTTATGACTCCTTTCACTTCATCCATACTAATCGCTGTGACTAATCCTATATTTTCAGCCTTTTTGTCAAGCCTTCCACTCCATTCGTTCTCCTCATTCATAAGCCTTTCAAAATAGTCCTTCCATCTATCTTCAATGTTTATATTATATATATATATATATATATATATATATATATATATATATATATATATATATATGTATATATATATATGTATGCATGTTTGTTTCTTCTTCCCACTGAAACAGATGTACTGATGTATGATGTGTTATACATAGATAGTTTATGATATATTACCTGGAGTGACACATACTACTGTTAGCCACTTAGGGAGGCACCGAAATGAGGGTAAGTCACTTGTGATTATTTAAACTGTCAAGGTTATTTACAGACAACGACACATATTTACAAATAAAAGGTATGACAAATTAGCTTTTTTGTTCAATACAATAAAACAGGTGTATACCATTATATTGTGGGTAGGCAGGTATATAAAACGTACGATACGTTTTAATGCTTAATTTAGATTTCTTAGAAATGAGTTTTTT